TAGCACACTTACGATCTAATAAATGTGAGTAAAGCACTGGTATTTGTTGCTAAACTCAGTCCAGTTCTAAATGAAAATGGACCTCAGACTAAAGCCTCACCAACTTCTTGCTGAATGTTAAAAGAACATTTGAATTTTTCAGTGTTTTCCACTTATTTGTTTAACATCTGACCAACAGAGACCAATTTAATACTTTAATTCAATGATTCATGCATCAATTCAGTATATATACATATTCAAGAAAATAAAATGCACTTTTACTGAAGCAATGATGCATCTAAATAAGGATTTTGTCTTCAATATATTAAGGTTCATTATGCGCAGATGACATTTTTACAAATTTAATGTCACTGGGCTGCAGTTTATAGAATATATCATGAGAACAAACGATTCAGCCTGACGGGAAGTTATTTTTCCTACTAAAAACTTTTCAAAACCTAAGGTTTTAATACAAAAAAATAGCTTTGAAAGCTAAATTTCTTATTTTGACAAACATGAATGTCTGTTGTGTGTAAAACTATTCAGTTCTAGTTTGATCCGTCTAAATCCTTTAATTCTTAGTTTAACTAGCAACATCCTGGTAGATTATTTTTATAGGTGATTTTGATAAATGTATCTGCTTTAAAAATGTATGTTTTTTAAATATACATTTAAAGAAATATCTAATGTGGTAAACGTCACCTTCTGATTTTTGTAATCAGCCCTGGCCCAAGGCAAAGTGAACAAGATTGGTCTACAAAATCAGCAAGCTGAAAATTCTTCTGCTTTACCTGCTAAAAAAAGATGACAGATTTTTGATCTATGAATTAACACAGAACCTCACAAATATGCATTACATTTTTCATCTAAACTGCAAATGTTTGAGGATCAATTGTGTTCTTTATTATATATGAGCATAAATATGATTAATCCCTGAAGCCTGACTAATATAAAGGTCTGTACTTGTATGTTAAAAATAACCAGCACTTTCTGATTTGAAAAATTAAGTCAAGGAGGGGTAAATGGAAAATATTGGGTCTGAGGTCTAATCTATGGTCCAAAAACACCAGTCAGACTATTTAGTGATATTGACAGATCGGCTTTTCCAAGAAAACACGTAATACAATGATCTAATTAGACAAAACAGACAGTTGGAAAATCAATTTTCTCTTTCCAACATGCAAAGATCTCACTCCGAGTCAGTCAATGCTCACACACTGAGAATTAATAAACTATTTTAAAGGTAAACAAAGGGGATGTGTAGATGAAACATCCCTGAGCGGAATATGTGCTTCTTAGACATATTACCTAATATTTCTAAGGAGAAGTGTAGATTAGCCCTGACTGCTGTGAAAGGCAAAAAGTCAATAAAGGCTACGGTTTAATGTTTTTGCTTAAATGCAGATGGCAATTAGATCAGTGCACATTGGAACTTTTAACTTTGATTTTACTGAAAGAAATAAAAATATTGTTAATGGCTATTAAACTCTGCAGCTGCATTTCTCATTTACATGTTTTTTAAAGCCTTAAAGTTTCCTCCCAACAAATGTGGTTTTTGAACCACTAATTTTAGCTTATACAGTAGTGCAGGAAGTAGACAAAAAATTGATCTAATAACATGAAGAGATGATATTAAGTATTTAATGAATTATATTAACTTTTATGAACCAAAAAAAGGAAAGCAAAAAATGGCTTCTACAAGATAAAAGTTTCAGTTTAGCATTTAAGAGATTATTTTAGTTGAAGTGGTTTAGCTCACTCAGAACTAAGAGCAGAGTATAGCAATAGCTTCTATTACCTTTTGATAGGTGAATCGCAGAACAGGTAAATGCACTATTTATAATGCAACGATTAATTTTAAAAAATACTTCTCAAATGAGCCAAATTCAACTATTTCTGTCCACCTATGCACTCTCCAGAACTAATCACTCAAGTGGGCATTGTACATAATGTTTGATTTTATCGCAACAGTTGCATGGATGGAAAACCAGCACCCGAATACTGACTTTGGTTGTTGCTCAAGTCTTCACATAATAACACAAAAGTGACATGAAACAACTAAATATCCCGGCCAACACATTTCAGCTTGTGGCCTTCATCAGGGTCATGCTATTGCCCTGCACCATGATGAAGGGCAATAGCAGAAACTCTGGAACATTTCTGACTGGAAATGTGAAGCAACAGGAGGAGCATTATGCATATTGCTACTTGGTTCCCTAATTATCTAAAGAAACCTTCAGAATCTTTAGAGAATGTCTGAACTATATGAAGTTTATCTTCAAAAAATGTCAATGAGGAGCACTTAAATGGAAACCAGATGAAGTCAAAACAAGGTTCTGGTAATATTTCTAATATTTCTTCTTCTACAATAATTCATTTACAGCCAATAATGTTTGCCAATAATACAAATTTTTGAGCAATATTTAGCATTTTTTCTGTGCTGTGATATACAGGTACACCCCAGGATGCCAGCTTTCATCCTCTACAAAGGAAAAGTCGCTGCTGTCTGTCGCTGAAGGGACCGTCAAGCATCTGTCTTTGGAGTTCAGTCTTCAGTCTGAATTTAAACTCTTCAGTCTAAGTTTTGCTTATCAAACAGCTCGCTGCTGTCAGTCTTCTGAACCCCCCCCCACTGCGCTGCACTTTCCTCATAAAAACAGACCCATTCTGGTAGAAACTTTCTGTCAGCATCTGATGTTTTCAGAATACTTCTGTCTGCTGCACACTGCTGTGGGGGTAAAGCCAGCCTAAAACTAACCAATGACTGAGATCAAAACAGGCTGGCTGGATATTGCAAGAGAAAAGTTTGTAAATGCTGCTGCTTTGCTCCTCAAATCACTTATTCCACCTGATAATTTGTCCCCCTACATTCCACCTTAAACAATGTAAACAACCAGTAACCTTCACAACTCTTAGTTCCCATGAAAAAACTTGTCCAGAGGATTTCATATCTTTCTCACAGTTTCTGAGGATCTTCTACACATTCACATATTAACGACATCTGTCCTTAACTGTCTTTTTCAAAAAGAAGACATTAAATATTGACTTTGATATATTCAAAAATAGGCAGGTTTCAATATGATGCCAACAAGAACCCAAATCCATAATGACTGAAAAAATTAAGGGGTGGATAATCCAGGTCCAAAAAGTTAAATGCATGTACAGGAGATGTTTGCACTTCCAGCTCCACGACTCAAAGAATTTTGGGATCTGGATCATCCAGTTAACCTTTATAGCTTGTGTACAAACAAATAGCATAACCAAAGGTCATTGGCCAGTAAAATATTAGCATAAATCCTACTTGCTTGTGATGCATCTCATTTGAAAGCTTAGACCTTATAGTTTTTGGAGATATGTGTACAAACTCTTAAGTTTTATAAAACTTGAGCTATTTAACTCAAGTTTCAACTCAACTCTCGCATAAAAATATATATTTTCTAATATTCTATATTCTGGGTATTATTAATAGTGACCTACCTCTCTCTCTAAATTTGCTATTGTTGTGGACAACTGAACAACATTTCAGATTTCTAGTCATAAACATTGTTAAACTGTGACCCTTTTTGTATAGAAAAGGTCAATTTGACACATTTGATCCAAATTAGGACCAAAGCCAAACTGGATTATTTGGATTTAATGACTATTTTCATCATAAACACATTTCGATCAATAGCTTTACACTAATTTTCATTCTAACACTTAACATTTTCAGCTGTCATTATTTGGACTATGCATTTTCTACACACTTCCAGTCATTACTCCTCTCACTCCTTACCTACACCAATAAGCTCCATATTTTCCGCCCACCCCTACACTTCATTGGAACGCTAATCTGATTGGCTAATAAAATATGTCAAAATTTAATCGGTCACTGGTTGGGAGAGTTCCAGCTGTGCAAAGTCTACAGTTACGCATGCGCCTAGGGAACGTGTTTATCATGTGAAGGATGTTCCTGATGTTCATGGACACTGAGAAACGAACCTGTGCTTGATCTTGTGAGCATACTTAATATGACACTAGAAAAAGGCACTTTTATGCAAATATTTTCCCTTTTCCATGGAAAAAATGAGTGCTGGCATTATTACAATACCTGATTGCCAATTTATCCCAACAGCAACGTGTTTTGAAATGTGAGAAGATGAAAACAAGGTAAAAAGTGACAATTATGAATTCAAATTTAATGATAGTAAGTTACTGGTTTTTGTGGAGTACAGTTGGTTTACAGTTGAGTTGATAGTCGTTTTTCTTTAGGATAGTCTGATTCCAAAGAAGTACATGTTGGGTTTGGTTTACAAATAAGCTTGATGTTAGACGTGGAACAAAATGTCAAAACGTTTCTGGGCCGGGCAGTGGGAGCTAAGGGGTTAAGGAAGAACGAAACTGGAAGAGTAGAAGGAACACAATTACAAAGAGAAGGGAAAGATGTATACATAGAAGGACAAAATTGGGATAAGGCAACGGCAATGAAGGGAGGAAGGACACCATGAAGGTAGGGACAAAAAAAAAAATCAGGTAGAAGAAAGAACAGAAAGAAGAGAGCAAGAGTTAGGAAAGAAGGACAGAAACAGAAGAAAAACGAAGAGCATAAGGACAACTGGACAGAAGGAGGGAGGACAGGATACAGGGAGTAAGCCACATTCAAAACAGATGAGTTAAGATGGAAGGGAGGACTTGAATTAGAAGGTCACATCATGTGAAAAAGAAAAATTAGGAAATAGATATTTTTCCTCCTTCATAATTATCCATTTATGGAAAATATTGAACCCCAATATTGGATAGCTTAAAAAACTCAGCTGTAATTCAGAATATCCTTTTCAACTTGACTATAAGTAGGATTAATGAGTAGTTTAATCTAATAGCCTGTATAGGTCATAGTGAAAGAAAAATATGATGTTAGCTTTCATTTGTGAGGAAAACCAGACAAGGTAAACAAGAGAACAATGAAAACCTAATTTCCTCAAACTTAAAGTACATTTCAGTTCAGTTTTAACATCTATATTTATAAAAGCATTTGAAAATACCTCAAACTCCTCTGCAATCTTGGGTCCATCCAGGAACAGCCTGGTGCTGAGGCAGTCCACTGGGCCAAAGTTAGCTAAACAAAAGCAGATGAAAGATTATCCAGTTTGGATTGTATTTAGATTTCCTCATAGATGCACTAAAACTTCACACAAACAGGCTGTGGAAAGATGCAGTGTTTGAATGATATCCCAAACCAGAGGTGTAATTAGCAGAAACTGATGAGATTAGTTATGTGGTTGCATACGTTCTTCTCTGAAGCTGTGAATAAAGCACAGAGGGCTAATTACAGAGCCCCGTAAAGGAGCAGGAGCTGTTTATAACCATCAGTGCCCAGCTTCAGAACACAGCAATAAAGCCAGAGTTCATCCAGGTATCTAAATGTTCCTGAAGATGCTTAGCTTCTCCTGAATGAGAAACTCAGCCTCCTCTAGTCAGGTGCATCTAAACTGCCAAACAATGTTATTTCCAGGGAGTGGTGAAACGTGTGTTAAGATGCATTCACAGATTAGAACCTGTTACTACAGCTTTTCACTCACCTGTAAACTCCTTGAACTCCTGGAACACCTTCGGGTACATGGCTGCCGACATCACATCCTCAGGGGTGATATCGTCCCCATGTGCAGCACGAAGTCCATCTTCCAGGGCCTTGAAGTCCATTGGAGGCAGAGAGGCGCCAGGACGACCTTCAATGCGTGGAAGGGACTTCAGCACCTGTGTTAAAACACAGAGGTTTTAGGAAAGAAACAGTTTGCTTTGCTGCAGGTTCAGACAAGTCCTTTACCCAATATTTTACCAACAATCCCTTGAAATGCTCTGATGTTCCTTTTGTGCTCTATAGCTATGTGGTGCTAAACTGGCTGCTTTTATTAACACCAAAGAGACATTTTGGTCTCAGATGATTCTAAGTATAAAAATTAACTGAGGCAAAGAGCAGCCAACATAATGAAGTTACTATAATTACAAGGACACATTTATATCTCTAGATTAAACAATATCTGAAAACCAACAACAAAACAGATGTAAAACCTTCCTGATCAGAAATATTTTTGGGCAACAGTTAATCAATAACCATATAATACTATGGTAATAACATAGCAAGTCACACTATTTTACTTTGTTAAAAGAAAAACTTTTTTTTTTGGTAATTACCCAAAAATTAAGTTATTACTGGCATGTAATTATTACAATTGTATGTTACTATGTAACAATAGAGAAATTTGTTGGGTAATTACAACATAACGATTTCTATTATTGGCCACCACCTGCCACCAGATTACAAAGTAAATTGTAATTTATGATCAGGTAAATAAAGTATTATAAAACTGAACTCAAGTTACATATCAATAAGAGTTTAGTTATGAAGTCTGGCTTGCTGTCTTCTAGGTTTGGTTTTCTGTTATATGGTAAGTAATAAACTACATTTCACTACATAACACATTGATTTATTGCTGTAGATTAAATGACTGAGTTACCTGGTAATAGAAGTTTGAAATCTAAGAAGTTTGAGTTTACCTTGTCTGCCTAAAATTTGAAGCACAGTACTTAACAAAATTCTCCATAAGTTTTTTTCTCGTTACCTAGTAATACAGTGTAAGTTGCTATGTTATTACCATCTTATAACATGTACTGTAAAAGAAAACGTTACCTATTTTTGAACAATAACTGCTGTAAAGCAGTATTAGGGTTGAGTGAGTTTAGATCAGACCTTCAAGCCACTTAACTGAGATTTTGAGAAGGGCAGCACACACACAGCTTCAACCCACCATGTGCTGAAAAGTCATTTTAAATATTTCAAATGAAGCTAATTTGGTCAAAGGTTATGTGATTCTGCTTAAAAACTGCAAACTGTAACCCAGAAACAAACCAGTAGTTTCTGGTTATGCTTTGCCCCATTTATCTGATAATCTGAGAACAACATTTTAGCTTTTAGATGGAATACCAGTGAGATGATGTAATTGATGTCATAAGTGAAAAAAGTGAATTATTAATCATTATGAATAGAAGCCAACAATCTTTACAATGATTTTCTATTTTCAATAATAAAGTTCAGCCCATAATTTGTTATACCTGTGGAATAGATAAAAAAACCCAAAATCAAACCAAGAAGTTTAATACTGAAGATGATAAAAAGATCTAATTTAAACAGTGTCAATTTTAAAGAAAATCAAATGTACTATTTTTATTCACATAATGGGAATTTAAAACATGATAATCCTGCTAAATAACTAATGAGCTCCAAGTTTTGAGATTAAAGTGCCTCTTTATCATCACCCTAATCTATAGCTCCCGCCATAGATTCCAGTCAAAACCATTGTTGAAAATCTCTAGGAAGCGGAACAACTCTCAAAACACACAAGCCATCAAAAGGCATTAAAGACTCAGGCTGAGTCAATCTCACTGAGCCCAGCAGGATCGATCTATTGAGGGAAAGTTCGTCTCAACACTTATATAATCTAACAAAAAATATCTATACTGGCTTATACCAAAAACATTTTTCCAATTCATGAGAACTGGGACCTGAAACTTAATCCCTACATTTGAAGGAGATGAGTCCTCTGGAGAAACTAAACCTGATAACTTCTGAAACTGCCTGGTATTACATACATTCTGGGTTCAGCTGTGGCTCACTAATCTGTCTGCTTGACCACTTAATTCAATTCAGTTTTTGCTCGTAACAGACAAACCAAATCATGCCACATAGGAAAAAGATGAGGCTGATTCAATAAAAGCATGATAGGAGAGGATGTGTTTCTCAAACAGGAGTAGCTGCAGCGTTGGTTTGCACACTGCTTTAAGGTCAATATTAGATTTTTACAAGATTGAGCTCTACTGGGCGTGACCTGGAGCAAAAAAAATGTTCTGCAATCTATCCCATAATTAGATTAATTGGAGGTGGAAATGATTGGATCACTCGAAAGAATAGGCCATGTATCTCTGAAAAGAAAAACAGGCCTGCATTGGATACAGGGTCAACAATAAGGGTGAAAGATGCCTTTCATCTGTAAAATGGAAATAGTAATATACTAATAATATTCCAACATTTTTCTTCCAGGAGTTTAGTAATCAGGTTTCAAAATGTTACCGTTGCTCAGTGTTGTGTGAGCCATAGGCAGACTGCATAGGGTCAAGCACATGTTCTGGATTTCAGATTTAACTTTTTTAAGTATTTTAATCAGAACTGTAGCCGGAGCAAATGGTGAGAAATTAACTTTTTTCCAACACGATTTTTTGTCATTATACCCAGCCAATATATGATGCTACTGGAGAAACTCGATTGTTGAGCCCAAGATTCAAGTAAGCGACCATTGATTTCAGATCTGGTATACCAGCTTACCTTTCTGCAGCAGAAGGCCTCAATGTTGGCCATGTTTGAACTTCTCTTTTTACAGTCAGAATTCAGATGTATTATTCTGTTCATTTTTCAAACTTAAAAGGTAAAGGGGAGGATCTTTGCCAAATTTTTGAAAAGATCCACCCTCTCCACTTAAAACTGCACAACCCTGTACCAGCTCCAGAGAGGGAACGCCAATTTCTCCTCGTGCACGCTCTGTTTAAAAGTTGCTGTTTGCATCACTCATAAAAGCTTACTTTCCAAAAGAAGATTTGCAATTTTTCCACTATGTCAGACTCAAGAATTTGGTGAGAAAGATGACCTTCACTGACTGGTTGAAACTAATTCAGCACAATAATACGTCTGAAAGGGCGCATGCACAGAAAAAGATAGCCACCTATGGCTACGTAGGATGGCCTTACGTAAACATATCACCACAATGATTGACAACTAGGAGGACCACTTATTTTGATGATCCAGCCGGAAAAAGAACATCTTCAACTACATCTTTATTTGACCTTTCAAAAACAGTGGAAACAACTAAATCTCGTATGTAGAGGCATGGCACCAATAATAGTCTTATATTATCTTGTTTTAAGTCTGTCAATGTGGCCTGAATTGTAAACAGAGTATTTTATGAGATGGTACTTGTAAAATAAACACTGCTCTAAAAAAATGTGATCAGAATGAGTTATTGAAGTTCGTTTGCATTGTTGTTTTAAAAACCTGCCTGATTTCTGATGAATCATGCAGTGCTTTTTGAAACTGGTTTCATAAACACAGTCTGGTGTTAATAGGCAAGGCAAGGTTTGCATATGAAACCCAAGTGGGTTAATAGGTTCACCTATAAATAAGTCTAGTACATGCAGCTGTCAGTGGTGCATTAGCCTTTAAATAGGCTACTGATGTGGGATATTCATGTAGCAGAAAAACCGAAAAAAAAAAAGGGGGGGGGGGGGGGTTACATTTAACTAGGTCAATAACAGGGAACTTAGTATAACAAACTTTAATACCCAAGTCAAGATAATCACAGGTTGTTGGTCTCTATTAAATAATAAAAGCTCCTGAAGTGTTTTTTTTTTGCTGCGGTCCGACTCAGAGTTAGTATCCTTGTGACAACAGAAGTGTTGAACAGAGACATGCTGCCAACTAAGCTCCAACACCTGTTGGACAGAAACAGGCCAAACATCTACCTCCAGATTAACATAACATCCTATATCCATGCATTCAATACAAAGTCTATACACTCTTTGAAAGGATTTAAAGTGATTCACCTTCCACAGCCATGAGGGAAGGGCTGTGATCTTTAAAGCCTTTAGGCTAAGAACGACTAAACAAGAACATTCACATGGATGTGAAGCCATGCTCTGTAACTTCAGACACCAAGCCAGCGCTGCTCAAAAATCTAATTAAAATTAACCATTAGTTTTAATTATACTTGAAAAATAAATCTGCACAAAGACAGAAATTGAATAGTAATATTTTAGACTAATATATTGTAGCAAATGAGAAAACATTTCAGTAACCATTCTGTATTTACCCTTTAAAAAATGGGCAAATGTAAATAGATTTACAGAGACTTTTTCAAGTAATTAGATGTAGCTCTACTTTTATTAGGCCATTGTAATACATGTGTTGACATCTTATCTATTTAAATATAGCTCTGGCTGCATGTTTGGTCATCCACTTATCCCTTCAATCAGATCCCCTGTTCCTGCTGTAGAAAGTCCTCCCCATAGCATGATGCTGCCTTCACCATGCTTAATGGCGTTTATTTCAGGTTTCCAACATGAAATTACACAAGGCTAGAGATCAGAGTAAAAACCAGTAAAATGTCAAAATGTACACATTTCTATTTATAAATCATTTGACTGCAGAATCTTTCCTTTGTTTTCACAGTTTTCAGAGTATGTAATGACATTTTATGTGTGCATTCTGTTTTATTCATGCTTTAATATAAAAAGGTCTGTTTATTATTTTTTAACACTTTGAGATTTGTGAAAGACGACATTTACTATATAAATAAGCTACCCACTCAGTGTATTATCTGAAGGCTGAACTCACTCTCACACATGGAACCGCTTTCACGAGTACTATTGGTCCTCAACGTTCACTAGCAGTGTTAAAAGCACAATCTGTAAAACATTAAAACTCTAATGATGCAGCAAAACGTCTAGAATGAGAACTTGAGTTTTAACTAATTTTATATGATCTTTCAAACACCTCAGCACCAGTTTTTAATATTACTAAAGCCATAATTTGGACTGGAACAGCCTTTAGAATCATGTTAGACATTTATGATTAGGGTGATGAATTTTTAAATGTAAAATAATGGAAATCAAAACAGATCGTTTACTATCCTCAGTCATATATTTCAAAT